AGAAACTTTGAATAAAACTTGCTAATTCCCTGTTATCCTTATTGTTACTGATGTTAAGAGCAGGTAGTAGCATTAGGACTTTAAAAATGTTTCTCAAATATATTTCCAGAGATCAATTCTTTATCTCGGTGATGATAAACAGCATAAAACATCTGCAAATCAGCATTTATGCAAAAATAGCTCTTAGTATGAAAGAATCACTTGTGCAAACACTAGCTTTCACATTCAGTTACCGCCTTGGGCAAAGTACATCATCAATATTTCTGTCAGCAAGAAATTATTCTCTGTGTACAAAGAGTATATCTTAACACGCTGCCTGATTCTCAGAAAATACTCGTTTTCATTGCCTTTGATGGCAGAGAAGGAAAGCCAGCCTCTTTTTGCATATGACAGTTTGGGCCCTCAAATGGGAGGCACTGATTTTTGCAAAAAGCGTGGACCTGAAATTAATTCTTTTACTTTCCTCCCTCTAGCCCAAAACTTTGGCTTCTATTGCAATATCTTTCCGCATACAGTCTAGTAGGAAAGGTCTTCCTCTGCAGTACTGATTTGGTTTCAGGTCCATTTCACTGGGCACAGCAAAAGCATTTAGAGCATGTAAGAAATCTTCACATGAAGTTGCTGAAAAAGAGCTTGCAATCTCCTGTTATATCACCTATGCCATCTGTACAGAATTTTCTCAAGAAATTACTGTGAAAACATACAGCCAAGATCATAACAGCATCCCCAGATTCCTTTGTGGATGTGTTCCTAATGTTCAGGGTAATTATCTTCTTGATAAGACTCAACAATAATCACACTTGGGTATTTTAAGGACTTCGTAAATGGCAAAGACATTTCAGTGTCTTGGCCTATATACAGATGAAAGCCATAATTATAGGAAACTTGCAAAAATCTCTCTTTAGGGAAAATGAGTAGAATTTGCTACATTTACTAAATATTTTAGCAGCTGCATCCACTCCCATTTTCTGGGAAACTAATAGGTACATGTTGTCAGAGATGCACAGCATTATTTTGAGTCACACTGAGCTAGGGAGGTCCGCAGGTGCTGAGATGAGCAGTATCAGCCTCCTGGGGCTTCTTGCCTGGCTCTGCCCTACAGCTCAGCACTGTCCCTGACCCACTGTGCCACAGCTGTAGATATGATATGGCGTGAGTTACAGACACAGCACCATGCCAGGCTTCAAGAGCTGCAGTGCGTCATAGCCTTCCACCAGGACCTCGTTTCATCAGTCCAACCACATTCACATACGAAAACCAAGCTGGGCATTCTTGAAAGAAAACACCAACACCCCCTGAGAAGAAACGGCATTACTCTAAAATACAGGTCCCATCCTGCCACTGGCGCATGGTATTTGCTGGCCTGAAAATTGCCCACGAACAGCTAGCAAGATTCTCAGATGTGCTCATTTTCTGGAGGATTATTCTCAGTGTGCAGTCAGCCTTTAAAAGGTCTGTGCATACAGACAGTCTCCATCAGGTCAATTACTTGCAGAAGTTGCACGGTGCTTTTTCTGTGCTGCGACTGGGTGACTTGTCTGCCTTGCACAGCGTGAGCTGTGAATAGTGCAATTAAGTGCACAACGTTGAGTCACAATATGGAAATATGACAGCAAGCATTTGCTTTTCATAATCATCTACCATAATAAAGTTTGAGACTTTGCTTACTAATAGCATGACAATTAGGCTGGGAAAGGGTCAGACTGAATTAAAACATTTTTAAGGACAAGGATCTCGCAGCTCAACATTGCTGCTACCCTGTAAGACAGAAACAAGGAGGTGATGAGTCTCCTTGGCTGTGCCAGCATCCACAAACACAACATAACCTGTCCCAACCGACAAAATCCAGAGTGATGAAAGCTGTCTGCTCCCCCTGTGACAATCTACATCCTACTAGTAGGGCCTTCAAATACAGCGCAACACAGTTCAAGAACATAATGGAAAAATTGAGTTTTATTTTGTGTTCGTACTATCTGCCAAGTTTGCCTGTGCTATTTTCTGCTAATCTTTTCCCCACATGGCAAAAAGTTCAATGACAGCAGGAACATGAACTTTAGTCTTCACCTCACAGCAGAGAAGAAATGGCAGAATGGGCCACTGCAGGAAAGCAGGGAGCTCTTTTCTTATTGGTGGGGTTTTTCCACCTCTCTCCTCTCAATTTCCTTAAAAGTAATTAAATCTAAAACTTCACTTGTCATGAAAATTAGAGCCAGTTCACTTTTATCCAGTTAGCCTGCATTTCACTGATAAATTACTTGGGGGATGTTGTAAACCACTCCAAACTGTTATTTTTCCAGAAAAGAGAAAGGAAAAAAACAGAATTTAACAGAAAAAGAAAAAAAAAAAAGTCATATTTGTTTCAAGGGATGGCAGTGCGAGGACCAGGATAAGATGCTTGTTCTGGACAGCCATTATCTGTAGATCTCATAATTGATCAGAAACATTCCCTCAAATAGCAGAGAATGTTTCTTAGAAATGATGTAAGGCTTTTGTTGCTTCTAGTCATGTCTGAGCACAGGAGATTGGAGATCACAGCCAGGACATTCCTGAACTAAAAAGCTATTTTTTGTAATTTTGCAGTTTTTAAAGATGCTGTTGTTACAATTTCCCTTTCCCTCAGCTACCTGCAGAGCACTCATGGTAACTAATGCATTTGCTTTTATTAAAGAAGTGATGCTAAAAAATAGACAGAGAATGCAATATGTAGTTTCCTAAACTAACATATGCAGAATATTAGCTGCATTCAGGTTTCCCCATACACTTGAGTCCTCTAAATACACTGACCCATATAGATCACACTCCACATTTTCAAATCTGTTCTTGCTGATTTCTTTATTAATAGCCTTCTAATTGCTCTATTTTTGTTACGTTTCCCCAGTGGGGTTTCCCGGGCAGGCAGTTATCAGGAATTCACAACGAAGCCTGAAAATAACCTACAGGTCCAGCATGTTGTCCTTAGAACTGCATCCCAGTGCAGGCAGTGGGTTGTCGTGACAGGATACCTCCACTCTCCAAGCACTGAAATGACAGCCACGTATACATTTTATCATGCCTATGTTTATTTACCGGGGTGTAGGTGGAGGCTGAGGTTGTTGTATTCTGCAGCCTTATGGGACAATCAAAGACCTCACCTGAAAAATACTACTCCCAAAAGTTAACTGCTGATTAATGGGAAAAGATCACAAATCCAAAAGGCTGTGGCAAGTAGTAAAGGAAACTGCAGATAACCCGCACCTCATTAAATTGCCTGGGTTATAGGGCAAAACCTATTGGCACTGACAAAGATCTGCAGCAAGCTACAAACTCAAATTTTCCTATTTCATGTAAGGGAGGAAGGGTCACTACACAGCAGAAAATGGATCTAATGAGGATCAGCAGGACAGCGCTAGCTATAATGATCTATGAGCTTTTGTGGGAGGTTATATTTAGTGTAAGTTTAGCAAGTGTTGGATGTTTCTCTGTTGTTTTATACCTCGGTGTGAAATGGTGACATGAGATAACAGTCTGCTAACCTGCCTAGCTGGGGCTGCCAGTTCAGAACCCACAGTGCCCATCACCTGTCAGGGGAACCTGCAGGCCACACTCTTAGCTGCTTTTAGGGGAAGAAAGGAGACCATAAATACCCAACAGATGGAGAGCACACATGCCTTGATAAGCATCTTGATTTAATCCAAACAATGTGCCACAGCAGCATGGAAACAGAAAGCGTGTTTCTTAGACAGAGATTCTGTCTTTTCCTTTGAACCCATGTATGTTTTATACTTTCCAAAGTAAACATTTAATATTTCAAAGACTCTTCTGTAAAGCTGTCTGCTGCTTGCTTCTACTACCCTGTAGCTCAGAGGTAATGTAACAATAAAAAAACAGCAACCTGGAGCCTACAGGCACTCTTCACATACTGGCGAGTCTTGGAGAGCCAGCACTGATCCTGCGGGCACATGGTAGCTTGTCTCATTTCCATGAAACAACAATAAACAGACTCAATTCCCAGGAACCACACAAGCTCTGGGGCTGGCTCATTCCCACACCACAGCAGGAGGGCTGCCAGAGCCAGAGGGGTGCATGGGGCTCTGCTTACAGGCCAGCCAAGTAGCACAGCTGATGGGCTGCCAGGATGGTTTGCCTGCATGGCATACACACGGTGTCTTCTCACGAAGAGCAAAGCCTGGTTTGCAAGGAGAGGAGAAAAAAGTCAACAGGAATAACTGATTGTGTTTAATTTATTTCCAGAGTTTTCTGGAGTCTCTTGGGGTGCTGATGTTTACATGGGTAAGATGAAGTACACCTCTCCCTTTCTCCTTCGCCTTCTACTTTGCATTTGCCCATCAGTACAACTGTCTTATTTCCAAAGGATGCCACTGTTGGCTTGGGAAACATCACCAATATTTAGACTAAAAAGGATCTGAAGATACTCATGTGCATAGTTGCCACAAATGCTGTTAAGCCTAAAATACCATACATTATTTATCATTAAGTAATTTTTAAAATGTTCCATGGCATATTTTGAAAAACTGTAGAAGTCCAGAATAAAAAGCTAGGAAGAAAGTAAGTACTAAAAAACCAAAAAAGGATTTTTATATATGCTTTTAAAAGTACCTCAAAAGCCAACATGCTATGCATGCTTAATCTTTATTTATATATGTATATATTTATAATCTATGAGGCAATATCCATCTTAAAAGCATTACTTCATTTAAATTGCTGTATTCAAGCACCCTATCACACATTGTAGAACTCTCATAAAAGCTGAAAAGAACAGCCAAGAAATGCATTAAGAGACTTAGCTTATTAATGGCCAGTCACATATAGACTCATTTTTCTTGCCATAGGCTTTTATGATCTAGCAATAGAAATTTTTTCTTCATCTTTTTCAGAAATAACAGAGAGTTCCAAGAAATGGAAGCTGCTGCTAGTAAAAGAAGAAAAGCTGAGTATCATCAGGGTTAATAACTGCTACTTGAGATCCATGAATGATTACAGAGTTACACTTCTATATCGAACTTTCCAGTGCCATTAGTAATATGCTGCCTGTCTGGGACATCGGTACCCTCATGGTGAGAAGACTATTTCTTCTTCACACCAAATAGAAGAGCTGCAGGAACAATGGCTTCTAAGGTCTCGTGCTTGTACGTTTTGACAGTAGTTTGCTGGGCAAGCGCTCTCTGGTACTTAAGTATAACCCGTCCTACTTCTTCCTACACTGGCCACAGACAGGTTAGTAGCATATCAATAGCCAGAAAAAATGTCTCCTTTGGCAACATAAGAACTCGACCTATAAATCCACATTCCTTTGACTTTCTCATCAATGAGCCTAATAAATGCGAGAAGAGTGTCCCTTTCTTGGTCATTCTTATCAGCACAACTCACAAAGAGTTTGATGCAAGGCAAGCAATTCGGGAAACATGGGGAGACGAAAACAATTTTAAAGGAATTAAGATTGCCACGCTATTTCTTCTTGGGAAAAATGCAGATCCTGTATTAAATCAGATGGTAGAGCAAGAAAGCCAAATTTTTCATGACATTATTGTAGAGGATTTTATTGACTCCTATCATAACCTCACTCTGAAAACATTAATGGGGATGAGGTGGATAGCAACATATTGTTCAAAAGCAAAGTATGTTATGAAGACAGACAGTGATATTTTTGTAAATATGGATAATCTTATTTATAAACTGCTCAAACCTAACACCAAGCCAAGGAGAAGGTACTTCACTGGTTACGTTATCAATGGAGGGCCAATACGAGACGTTCGCAGCAAGTGGTACATGCCCAGAGATTTGTATCCTGACAGCAATTACCCACCCTTCTGTTCGGGCACTGGCTACATTTTTTCAGCAGATGTAGCAGAACTGATTTACAAAACTTCTCTTCACACCAGACTCCTCCATCTCGAAGACGTGTATGTCGGACTCTGCCTTCGGAAGCTGGGCATCCACCCCTTCCAGAACAGTGGCTTCAACCACTGGAAAATGGCCTACAGCTTGTGCAGGTACCGCAGGGTGATCACGGTGCACCAGATTACACCAGAAGAAATGCACAGAATTTGGAATGACATGTCAAGCAAGAAGCATCTTAGATGCTAAGATTTTTACAGGTGTAAATACCTTTTTTAAATTTTGCTTTACTCTGGTTATTTTTTGACAAAGTGATGTACTGATTTACAGGTTAAACTGGGATATTACTGTGAGAGGATTTTTAATGACTGATTTCTCATTCTCATTTTGACTACTGGTTTACAGACTTCAGGCTCTTTTCTTAAGGACGCTACACCAGTCAAAAGGACCTATAGTCAAAGCTCAGATTTTGTATATTATCCTCCATCACACATATCAGCTCCTGCATCTGTACGTGAAAGGACAGTAATAAGCTATCATGAGCTGCTTAATAGTTCATGCCCCAGCCTCTGAGATAAGACTCGGGCCCTACACAGTGAAGAATATACTTTTATCCCCTTTTGACACCCAACAATCATCCCTATTTAGAGCTTTGTTAATAAATTGAACAGTATGTATTTGCAAAGATCTCATATGCCTACCTTGGCATCTATATCTTACGGAACAATGTGTGCAGTTCCCAAGCAGGTTGCTGATGGTGCAGTAGCAGAATTTAGACAGGTAAGAACATCAAAGTCTCACAGGCCTTAGAACCAAACTCACACACAGAAGCATTTTTTTATCCCCCAAATAAATCATTTCACAAAATACTCCATTTCTTGCCACTGTTACAAGTAGACCCAAAAATATCTAATCCAACTTTGAAATGAAATAGAATCTGTAAATTAAATGCAAGATGGGAAACATATGGAAAATCATCTTAAACATCAGTGATAATTTTAAAGTGAATGCAACATTTCTCATTAGTATTGGTGTCTGTGAATCTCTCCCTGTTTAGGAGTATATTAATGAATATGATAACAAGATTATTTTCTATTTGGAAAGAAGATCGAATGACTTGTATAGAAGCACATAATTTTATCAAATGATAAAATTGTTAGTTAATAAGCAGCACGTTCCATCAACGTCAGTTGGTATACCATTTACCTGAACAAAAATCTAACACAGAAGAACATTACTTAAGGGTAAACTCTGGTTTTTTTTGCTTCAGTGCGTATGAAAATGAGATTAAACCATATTTTTAATGGTTTTTATCCAATGCATTTTCTGTTGATTGGACAACACACAACTTCCATAGAAAAATAGAGAGCTTTTCAAAAAAAAAAAAAAAATCCTTCTGCCTTTGTAACCAACCTGCAGCTCTCCACCGCAGAACCAGTGCTCACTGAGGTGCAGCTGAAAAAAGCACCAGAACTTAGAAATCCCAGGGCATGTGATAAAGATCAAATATGCAAGATTGTATTCAGGTTTGGTAATGTACTTTGATGTTCTAAATATGAATGTTAATGAGATGTGATGAAAATTATTTCCTGAAAAACTCTTCGATGTGTTCATACCATCCCTGCTCTGCACTGCTTTTCAAAAAAGAACTAAAACGTGATATCGCTTAGCAAGTAACTCGGAATGAGGAATTCATAGGCAATCCACAGGTATAAAATTCACCAAGTGTATATTAGCTCTGGATTGCTCACACTGTCCACAGCTCACACGTAGGCTTCATTCATTTCAATGGGAGATATCCATAACATGAAAAACTGTTAAGAATGCACGTTATTCAGGATAAAGTCTATAAAGTCATCAGAAATTAACTGAACCAGAATTTAAAGGAAAACTCTATACCGATTTTGCCATAGGCGTATATAATACTTTATAACAATAGCAATTGAATGAGGATCCTACCCCAAAAGCTTTGCAGTTTCAAGACATTGTTAGTCTTATTCACAGGTACAACACTATTGTTTCAAAGGGAATTACTGGTAAATAAGGTGAAGGGTACCTGGCATTTGAACTACATACAGTAAATGCCTCAGAGATCTACTTCAAATCTAAATGGTGAAGCTACAGAACAGACAGCACTGCAGTTACTTGCTAATCAACAGGAGCTCATGAAAATCTGCAGCATAATTAAGATTTATCCTTCTCTAGTTGACCCAGTCCTTGTTAAAGTTGCTCTTGCTTCCTTACAAATTCAGAACTCCAACAAAACAAGATCCAACTAATTGCATATATGTATATAAGAAACAGAGAGTGAAATTCAGCTTTTTTTAAACAGGTCCCAGAATATGCAGTTAGGGAAGGAAAACTAGGGTGGAATTCAACCCCAACCCTCAGTAGGTCACAGAGCATGAATGTAACCATACCAGGGTACACTCTGTAGTAATTACAACCAAGGCTGAAATATCTTGTACCATTTGTTGATACTATGTTGTAATTTGGGGTTTCTGAATCTACAATCTGGATTTGGTGGCTTTAATTCTTCTGCTGGTGATTCTATAGTTTGTGGCTAGTAAAACCAAGGACGGCAGAGCTCCTTGTCCTGATACCTCAGGGCTCAAGTAGCACAGCAGCCTTGAATTACTCCTAGTAGAAGTAGACTGCATTAACAATTGGAGCGTGCACCTTGAAAATAACATCTTCAAAAATATATTTCCGGCCATTTATAAATAGATAGATCTTAATGACAATGTAAATTTTCACCTTGGAAACTATGTACATATTCCTAAGGCATTTTCTTCTGTATTCAGCTGTATATATGTGTGTATGGTCTGCTTGCTATGTAGTATTCTGTTATGCATGGAGCTGAATTAGGCATTATATTTGTCCAGTGTTTCAAGAGCCTTAAGCATGTGTGCCCTAACTTTTGAATGTACAAGACTTTTTTCTTTTATTGTCAAGTGAATTTAAATCTACGAAACCTAATTTTCTACTTCTATTAGTTTTCTCATAGTAGGCTTCACTAGATTGTTACACATAAATAAAGAGATTAATTTTCCCTTTGCTCAGAAATTGCATTATTTCAACCTAGAGCTAGAAAGGGAAACCATGACAGCCATGCATCTACTTGTGGACAGCATGGGTTTTATTCTCCAAGCACTTAGAAATGCTTGTGTCACCTTGGGTACTGTTAACAAATAACATTGTTTGCACTGAGCTCCCTTTAAACAAAAGGAGTATTTGCTCCTTAAAGGTCATTTTGTTTCACTGGGCATGGGGCAAATGACAATTTGGTTAAGATGTTCTGGCTTCTAGTCACTTCAAAACTGTGAAGTAACCATATTTTTATTTCAAAGCATCCAGTAACAAAGCACACTGAACTAAGAATCTATGGGAAAGCGTCTCTCTTTTGGAGGAACTTTTCACAAAACACTTCTAGGCTAAATTCATGAGAGTATTTAGACAGAAGTCTCAAGATTCATTTTTCGTCTTTCCTAATAATAATCTTAAGTGTCAATTTTCATTTGTTACGGGGATTTTTGTCTTTATAACGTAGATGGCAATGGCATTTGTAAATGAAGAGTGTAATTAACTAGAAAAGCTTGTCAGCAGTAACCAAACTTTAGGTGTATCATTATATACGACTGGCTGTACTTATGTATTTATTTGTCTAAATTGTATATATTGTTTTATCTCCGGTGTCCGTAGGAGTGCATTCTTTTAGATTAAAGTATTATTTACAGTTTTGTGGGATTGCCAGCAAAGCTGCTAATCAAGATACTATTTTTTTGTATCAATGTCAAATAATAATAATAATAATAAAAAAAAAAGAACAACAAAGTCAAATGAAAAATTGAAGGTGTCACATAGTTTTCTTCATTTCTCTCTAGGAATGTAGGTGGTATTATCTGAAATTATGATATCAATAAGTAAGGTTCATTTTTCAGGAGGAAGAATATTATCCTGTAAAAGCAGATTTTAGAAAAATGATTGGGGAAAAAAAAGGATAAAAATACTGCTTTACTGTTTGCACAGCAACTTAAGCTGCTGTCCTACTTAGGACCTAGCAGGCATACTACTTCATTTGGCTCCAAAGAGCTGATCTTATAACAGCCATGGCAACATCTAGCAAATTAGCAGATGGGCTCCTCATCTGCTTTGGCATTCCCAGCTCATGCATTTAGTTTGGCAGCCTCAAAGTGGAGGAGCTCTTCGGCTCCACTAGCCCTGTAACATGAGGGACCTCCTGGTACCTGGTGTGTTTGCAGCCATTCAAAAGCTACATATAGGAAAAAAGCACAAGCGTTCAAAAACGCACATCTCATTAAACCACAACAAACTCACTCTGAGGTTGCTGCATGGCTGCTGGGAGGGCATGCATAGGCACCAACCAACAGGAAGTGGTCAAAAGAGGACCTCCTTGCACACAGTCACAGGGCTCCTGCTTCCACATGCCCCAACCAGGAGCATTAATGACGAAGCATATTCTGAACGCACCCAGCTTATCTCGTTAGTCTAATGTGGGGCTTTGCTCTTAATACAAGTACATTAAGATGCTATTTTTCAGGTGGGAAGGCCTGGGAGGCCTCAGGGTTTTCACATCAACATAAGGAAAGAAGAGAAGCAAACCCATTAGAGCAATATGAAATCCTTTTACTCCACGAACTAGTGAGAATCAGGATACTGGTTTGTTTTGGTTTTTTTTTTTTTTTTTTTTTTGTATCTATGTCAAATAATAAAAGGGTGTTATGTATTTCATTTCGTTCTAGAAACATAAGTGGTATTACCTGAAAGCATGATATCAATAAATAGGTTCACTTTCCACGAGGAAGAATATTATCCTACCAAAGCACATCTGTCTCCCTCCACCCTCACCTTTGCAATTTCTGGCTCAGAACTCAGTTTCTAACCAGTTTGTTTTTGTTTTTCCTGGGGTCACCTCTTTCAGGAGCAGCTGGAGGCTGCTACAGACGTCAGGCACCCTGAAGTGCCTGCAGTGACACCTACAAGTTATAGCAAGGAGAGCTTTAAAACAACTTCATGTGCAGGAAAAACCTCTCCAATCATTTGCAGATTTTTCTCATTTTCACCACAGCCGCCTAAGTCTAATTGCAACACTTACATGGTGCTTAATTAATATACAGCTTAGAGATATACAGATATTAGCACTTGTAGGGTAGATTTCATGTAGCTTGATTATCTTAATTACAAGCATTCTATTTTCTCATTTACTTAATTGATTGTCATAGATTTCC